ATCTTGGAAGATGTGTAGCTAGCCCAGGGTGGCAGATTCAGTTGAATAGACTATCCATACCCAAGGGGAGGAGCCACATTGTGGCCCAGAGGGACTTAACCCACTCTGCTAGCCCATCACCTCCCAGCTTCCACTGGAGGGGCCCTTTTGCCCCTTGCAAACAGCACTGTGAGGATAACCCCAGCTGTCCTACAGGTGGTGGGCACATGCCACAGGGGAAGGCTAGCAGAGATGGTGAAGCCACTTGGTAACTGCCTAGACATAGTGAGGGCTCACGATACCCATGAGGGAGGTTCTGCTCATGGGAAACCCTGTCAAAATCAACCTGATTTTCAAAAGCAATGCCTAATCTATAAAAGTAAGAAAAACCAAATATCCAGCAAAAAGTAACAGCCTCTTTAAAGAAGATGTATGTTTCAATCCTAAGTAACTCATACCAAATCATAAGTAAGTTATGTGCAAGAATTTGGCAGCTTGATAGGTCATAAATGTTCCTTTGCTGGTTACGAACTTTGTAAAATTATCTCAGGTTCTTTAGCTTTAAATGGCATGTCTCATTTAACAAATGGCTGGCTTAAAAACAATGTGTTGTTGGTGGGGTCAGGCCCGAATCAGAAACTTCTCCCAGTATAAGCCAGCAGACACCCTGGGACACCCTTATCTCTATTTCATCTTGAAGGACACCAGACACTGGGAGTGGCAGCCAATCAACAAAGTTTAAACAAGTATATCCACTTGTTTTTATTTTTACTTATTTATTTGAGGCAGGGTCTCACTGTAAAGCTCTGATTGTTAAACAAATTGGCCTCAAACTCACAGAGATCCACCTGCCTCAGCCTTCCAAGTCCTGGAATTAAAGGTGTGTGCCACCTCACACAGCATAATCTGCTTATTCTTGTGTGCACTCAACAGATGTGATGAGGGTACAACACAAAAGTTTACTTTTGCCTTTGGCCAATGAGAAGAAAACTTAGCATCTTGCTGTTAGGGCTGTGTATCCGGAAGAACCAGTGTTGCTCACCTTCCTACAGGGTGACAGGATGACTCATCCCCCAGAGCCACTTTCCATCACAGATTTACGTCTGATAAAATATCAGAGACACATGTTTGGATTTTCCTTACAAGTGTCACAAGCTGGAAGGTGGTTTGTGTTTTGAGATAAGGTTTCATGTAGCCCAGGCTAGCCTCCAACTTTTATTATAGTCTGCCACCTCTTCCCAAGTGCTGAGGTTATAGGCCTGGGCCTCCATGTCTAGTTTATACAGTGTTTGGCTAGAAGCCAGGCTTTGTGCATGCCAGGCATTCTACCAACTGAATGACAACCCCAACTCCCCAGAAAAAAATTCAGAATTATTTGTTCATGTCTTGATTGTGTTTGCAAAAATTACATAAGGAAAATTAAATAATATATATAAATAAATATATATATAAATAAATATAACTTAGTTATTCCATTACATGCTTTATATTGGAATAATAAGCTAATTCAGATGGTCTAATTCACCAAAGTACCTTGAACTTCTGAATTAAATCACACAGACTTTTCCTAGAACTAATAACAAAAAAGGAAAGGAAAGGAAGGAAGGAAGGAAGGAAGGAAGAAAGGAAAAAAGAGGCATGTTTGGGTTTATTTAACTCATTTCTAATCCTTTTTAATGTGTGTGTGTGTGTGTGTGTGTGTGTGTGTGTGTGTGTGTAGGCATGTTGGGGTTTATTTAACTCATTTCTAATCCTTTTTAATGTGTGTGTGTGTATGTGTGTGTGTGTGTGTGTGTGTGTGTGTGTGTGTGTGTGTGTGTGAGGTGATTGCAGGAGTCTACAGAAATCACAAGCGGTTTCAGACCCCTAGAACTAGAGTTACAGACAGTTGTGAACCACCCAAGTGGGTGCTGGAACTGAACTCAGATCCTCTGGAAGAACAGCAAGTACTCTTAACCAGTGAGCCACCATTCCAGCCCTTTTTACTAATCTTTTTTTAAAAAAAGTTATACTTACATTATTTATGCGGGTGTGTATATGGACGAATGCGTGCATGTGTGCCATAGCACACGTGTGTACGTCAGAGGAAACTTGTGGAAGCTGGTTCTTCCCTTCTGATATGTGGGTTCTGGAGAAGGAAGGGAGTCACACTTGGAGGCAGGCTATCTTGCTGGCTACCACTTCTAATCTTAATCCTAAAGCTCATGATTAAAGAGATTTAACTACTAAGGTAAAAAGTTTACTGACAGATCAGTATGGGGTGAGATCTGTATTGATGAAACATGACTGAGAATTATGTTCAGTAAGCTTAGAGCAGAGGCTGCAAGCACCATGTCCTAACCCACACACAAGGGCTGCCCTTGTGTGTGAACTTCGTGTCGGCAGAGGGCGCCAGTGCCCTGTCGATGGGATAGGGGCTGCAGCTGTGGCCCTGAGATGAAGTCTGGCCTGGACACCCTTCTAAGTTCAGCTTTTACGTTTCCTCTTTGACACTGGAGGGGTGTTAGTGCCACGTTTGGATTCTGCACACCTCTCACAGCCTTGCCTGACTCTGTTGACACTCTTGCTTCTATAGTGACAGCCTGGCCAGGACAGTTAGGCTCCATGTGGCCCTAAGCCAGAAGGCTGCGCTGGCCTTGTCTTGCCACTGTATTGTTCAATGACAGCAGTAGGGACAAGATAGGCAGGCTATTTACATCATCATCACTGTGCAATCTGCTGAGAGACAGCAATCCCCAGGTAACTTGAGATGCTAAACACAGTAAAGAGCTTTTAGATAAGTGGGCACTGAGAAATAAAAATAAGACGAATATATGGAGTTTTCATTCCAATTAGACAGATAATCATACTACTGCCTAATGCTGACCAAGGTACAAAATGCTCTGTGTCCCTGCCTGCCAATCACTACATATTTGTGAGTTAATGTCATTACAAACAATGACTAGGTGACAAGCCTGAGGCCCATAGGGTTAAATCATAATGAGCCGAGAAAATATCCTGAGGTAGGGAAGGGCCAGGAATATATCAGGGAATAGAGTACTTGTGAAGTTCAATTCTCAAAAGGCATAAAAACAAAACAGAAGACAGCATGGTGGCAACCCACCTGTGATGCTAACATTTGGGTGGAAAAGGCAGGAGGCAGAAGTTCAAAGCAGAAAGATCTAGGATCTGGTTCCTGCAGTTACCTCACCTCCTCATCACTTGTCTCCAGAGCTCAGCTTCTGGATTGAACTAGCAGGGTGGTCAAATCCTTGCTGTGTGTCTCATGCCCATGTGTTTCACAGAGCTTCTGGGTTGCCAGCATGAGATGTAGAAAGATGTGATTTAGAAGGTGGGATGTGCCTAGGTGTGCAAGGGTTTGTGACAATGGCAGAGGAATGCCACTCTGAGGTGGCGTCTTCCAGCCTGACCTACAAGAAAGGTGTGTCCACTGTAGACCAGAAGGCTCTAGAACGTCCAGGTCTGAGTTGGCGATGCTTGCCCTCAGGTGGCAGTGTTTGTGCATGCTCTCTGCAATGAGGGTGGACTAAGGGATGGGGTAGGTGGCTGCAGTCTGCCACACAGAGCAAGTATCCCATGAAGGCTCTAGAGAGGGGTTTGGGCACTTGAATTTGAGGAATAAACCCAGGAGCCTTGGAACAAGTGAGCGCAAGACTCTGAGGAGGGAGTGGAAGTGTGGATAGAGAAAGGGTACCAGGGCCTGAAGTGGGGAGCCCCAGTTAGTTGTCTACCAAAGGCTGGTGTGGGGAGCAGCACAAGCAATATGGGGTACACTGTATACAGAGAACTGAAGAGCGATCATATTTAAAATAATTCACTTTTTATTATTTCCATGTGTGGGTCATTCTAAACGTGAATAAAGAAATACTCTTCCTCTTGTGTGTGGGGAGGGGTAAGAAAGACATTCCTACCACCCCTTTGCTGATATGCCATAGTCCCCTTGTCCTTGCCAGTAGCCATCCCTTGATAGAGCCAGGGGAGTAAAAGAACCTTGGAAGGGACTAGAAAAACGACGAGCAGTTGGGTCTCCACCAGCATTGAGTAGATAGTTAAGGTGGGGCTTCAAGGACGACCTGGCAATATAGGAAAAGTAGGGCTGAATGGAGTGTGGGCTGGGTGGGCTGCTGGGGTGCCCACTGGATGGTTCAAATCCAGGGACATTGCTGCTGCTGGCCCCCAGGCACTGTGCCCTTTGTCGCTTGCAGGTTATAATCAATTGGCAAACCGGGTGGGCTGCTGGGGTGCCCACTGGATGGTTCAAATCCAGGGACATCACTGCTGCTGTCTCCCAGGCACTGTGCCCTTTGTCGCTTGCAGGTTATAATCAATTGGCAAACACATCGAATGACTGATTCCCTGGGCTGTTCTGTTCCCACCCTGCACTCCCTACTGATGCAGAAATCCAATTTCCATCTTAGCTCCTCCACTAAGAACTACCCTGCCCAGGCCCTATGAGGCCAAGTCTCATCAGGCAATCTGTGTTCTGTCCTTTCCCTGGCCGATACTTGGCCCTCAGTGACCACCTCTCTCTCCTTTGCAGGAGCCGGGTCCAACCCACCAGTGATGCACAAAAGAATCAAGGTCCTGTAGCCAAAGAGCCACACAAGGATCAAAGCCCCGGAGTCCCAGGGCTTCTGAAAGGCCAAGGTCCTGTGGTCCAAGAGCCTCCAAAGGACCCAGGCCCCATGGTGCCAGAACTGCCAAAGGATCAAGTCCCTGTGGTCCCAGGGTCCTTAAAGGACCAAAGCCCTACACCCCCAGGCCCTCCAAAAGACCAAGGTGCTGTATTCCCAGGGCCCGTGAAGGATCTAGGCCCAATGGCCCCAGCACCAGCCAAGGATCAAGACCACATGGCATCTGAGCCTTTAAAGAATAAAGATTCTGTCATCTTAGCACCAGCCAAAGCCCACAGCCCTTTGCTGCCGGAACCTCTAAAGAACCAGAGTCATGTGGTCCCAGCAAGAGTTGAGGATCGAAGTCCCCCAGCACCAGCACCCTTGAAGGACCCAGGTCCTGTGGGCCCTGAACCTGGGAAAGATGGAGCTCCTGTGGTCCCTGAGCGTAAGAAGGACCAGAATGCCACAGTCATGGCACCTTTGAAGAGTGAAGCTCCTGTGGCCCCTGAGTCCATGAAGAATCAAGGCTTAGCATACCCAGAGCCAGTCAAAGATACAGGTACAGATACAGTGGTCCCCAGACAGATGAAGGGTTATGATTCTGTGTTTGTAGCACCTGTGAAGAACCAAGGTCCAGTGGTCCCTGAGCCAGTGAAGAGCCAAGACCCCATTATCCCAGCACTAGCCAAGGATCAAGGTCCCATGGTCCCAGAGCCTCCAAAGAATCAAAGCCCAGTGGTCCTTGGACCTGTAAAGAATCAAGACCCTATAATCCCAGGACCTCTGAAAGGTCAGGATCCCCCGGTGCCAGCCCCAACAAAGGACCAAGGTCCTACAGCCCCTGACCCTCTGAAGACTCAAGCTCCCAGAGGCCCTCAATTGTCCACAGTCTCACCTTCACCCCCAGTCATGATCCCAACAGTTCCCCATGCAGAATATATTGAGGGATCCCCTTGATTCCCCTGAAATGCCATGAAGGAGCTGGCGATGGAAGTGCTTCCCTCCTGGGGAGGCAAAGACACATATTTAATCTGCATGAAACTGTGCTGTATAGTCTTGCAGGAATCAAATAAAACCGGTCCTTCTGGCTCAGCAGTGTCTTTCTCTGCCTCTGTGACGTTGGAGTGCGTGCCATGCTCACTGGAGGGTGAATCAGTCTGTGCAGTCAGAAACACCCAATGTTTAGGACTTGTCATCATGACCTAGGGGTAGATAGGTGCTGGGTGGTTTTCCCTGGACAGATGGACATATCCATATGCCCCTAATGGGACAGAACAAGGAGATGATCCCACACATCTAGTTTAATGACCAGTGATTTTATTGGGCTCCCTAACAGAACTGTGGGTGAGGGGTTACCTACAGGAGAAGCATGTCTGGCTCAAAGGCCATTGCTTCACTGATAAACCCAAGATTCATTAAAACTGTATCCCAGGGAGCCACACGGTGATGGCACATGCCTTTAATCCCAGCACTCAGGAGGCAGAGGCAGGTGGATCTCTATGAGGCCAGCCTGGTCTTCAAAGAGAGTTCCAGGACAGTCTCTAAAATTACAGAGAAACCCTGTCTTGAAAAAAAAGAAAAAACAAAAACAAAAAACATAAAAACTGTATCCCTGGAGATCTTTGCATGACTTGCTGGAGACTCTTCCAGCTCCAGAGATCCTTACTTACATAGCCTTGGGGCAGGGCCTTGTGAATCTTGTATGTTTCAGGAGTTTCCTGATCCTTACTTATATAGCCTTGAGTAAGGGCCTTGTGAATCTTGTATGTTTCAAAAGGTTCCTGAGACTTTTAAATTCCATTCACTTTCTGAGTCTTACAGCCTCCCTCCAGGAGGAGATGTTTCAATTCCCAAGAAATAGCTGCACAACCGTAAGTGATGCTGAGAGACTGAGGGCAGAGGCCACCACCAAAGGTGGCAAAATGATGCAAGGATCTGAGTCTTGAAAGTCCACAAGAAGCAAATCCCAGCAGGCTGAGCTCTGGATGGGTCAGAGCTGAAGCCCACAGATGAAACAGAAGCAATCATTCAACTGAACTGGGGAAATTAGGGGGTGATTATTGTTGGTCATGGGATCAGTGGTAAAGCTCATCCAATCCAGGCCCCACGCCTCTTGCTCATGAATCTCAGGACTCTCTAATGAAGCTCAAAGCTAATGGCTGCTGATACTTATTCTATATCCATAACAGTTGAATATGGAGTTTATAAATAGTACCTTAGCTGTACAGTGTTACAAGCCTGTGGTCCCAGCTACTCAAGAGGCTGAAGCAGAAAGATGGCTTGAGCCAGGGCCTAAAGTTCAGCCTAGACTACATAGTGAGGTCTTTTCTGTGAAACAAGGGCTGGCCTTGAACTCAGGATCCTTCTGCCCCTGTCTTCCAAGTGCTTGAATTGTAGACATGTGCGTCCCACTGTGCTCAGACAAAATAGGTGTTTTTGTTTTTTATTTTTATTTTTTGAGAAGGTGTTTCTCTTTGTAGACCTGCCTGTCCTAGAACTCACTCTGTAGACCAGGCTGGCCTCAAACTCAGAGATCCCCCTACCTCTGCCTCCCAAGTGTTACCTTCTGGTGTACTGCCACCACCTGGCTTTTGTTGTTGTTGATGTTAATAAATTTAAATTTTTAAGTGCTCCAAGTTCCCTGCCTTTCACACAAGCAGTGAGATCTCCGCTCTAAGGAATTCAATCAACTTTTGTTGTCACTATACAGGTTTGGGGGCTCATTTGTTGTTTGTCTGTCTGTTTTGAGACAGGGTCTCTGTAGCTTTGAGGACTCCTTCTGCCTCAGCCCCCCAAATACTGAGATTCCAGGTGTCTTTCACCTAGTAAAATGACTCTAGTCTTGTAATGATAAAATGTAAACTGAGATGAGGCTCAAGCTAACTCCTGGCTTCAAGAGCACAATGCAGAAACATACCTGGTGAAAGACTTAAAAATTAGCAAAGAAATATAGCCCAGAAACTGACCAAGGCTATTACTATGACTTAGTGCCTGGAATTTACCAGCCACCAGCAATTACTCCCTTACAAGGC